AACTACATCCCTGCACCTGAGCTGTTTCTTAGTGTTCTGTGTGCGGTCGGGAACCTTGTTGTTGTCTAGAGCATGGTGTTGGAGGGTAATAGGGGTGTAACGTGACCCCACGAGCTCCCAAAACACTTTACAATAAGAAAAAAGATTTTCTACATGCATGTCAAAAAAACGTGTTGTCGGTTAGCTGTAGTACCTGGTTGTTCCACCAGGTGGAGCTTCTTACTGTTTAACACTGTACAGACCAATCTGACGACAGGTAGGAGCATTGTGAGGGTTTAGCTAACAACAGACACCACGACAAAGACTTCTGTGGTGCTTAATGACAACTTATCTTGTATGAAGCGTCCTGCCTCCATCTTGAATGTTCCCGTTCTCAGACATTTCCAGAATAAACTCAACGTGATTTGTTTTTCTATTCTTCCCGACAAAGCAAATTAAAACTGTTGATATGTTGCTGCTGTGTTATCACCTGTCGGCTGCAGCCTCACGCTTCTTCTATGATGGAATAAACCACACTGCTGGAGCTTTTCTGTTCGTTAAAGACTTTAAATTTGCTCGACTGCAACTTTACATTAAACTACAACAACATGAATCAGAAGAGCCATCAGAGAGCTCATCGTCCACCGAGTCCAGCGCTCCAGAAATGTCTTGTTTAGTCCACAACCCAAAGAGATCCAGATTACTGTCACAGAGGAGGCAAGAAAACTGGAAATATTCACATTTAAGAAGCTGCAAACGGACAAATTAGACAGTTTTTCTTTAAAAAACGATTATTCGATTAACAGTTGCTGCAAACTAACCAATTAATTGTTGCAGCTCTTTAGCCAACTTTGGACTTAAGCTGTGCTTCATGGAGCAACAACAGAGCTGAAGGAGGAAAAAATTCTCATTTAAGAAGCTGCAATCAGAGAATTTAGACGTTTTTCTCTTGAAAAATGACTCAAACTGATTAAATAATCATTAAAACTGACGATATTTAATTAAACAGTTGGCGGCTGATCAGTAAACTGTTGCGGCTCTGACGTTATTCCAGGTGACTGATTCTGTTAATTGCTGTTTTTGCTCCTGTACAGTTGAACAAATGAGATATAACGTGATCATGAAGGAGCTCCAGAGGCGCTGCTGGTTGATTCAAGAACATTTATCAGAACTTTTCCTTTTAGCAGGTTTTGTGTGAGAAACAAAAAGTATTAATACGACGACCTTCGTAAAATCCTCGATATCAGCCCGGTGAAATAAATCAGTCAATAACAGAAACATAAAAGCTCCTCTTATCACCAAGGTGACCATAAATCCTGTCTGAGCTGCAATTTAGCAGCAAAGCACCAAGAAAAGGCGTTTCAGATGCATTTCAAGGCTCTGATGAATTATTAAACTCACACTAAAACTCAAACTGAGGCTCAAAAGGCAAACAAAAGCCGCTGACACGGCAGCAGAACATTCAGACGATCGGGTCGGTTCACCAAAGAGCTGCTGCTGCTTCCAGAGACGTCAGACGACCGGAGCTGCACCGAGACCAGAACCACCGGCGGCAAACTGTTCAGTAGCTGACAGACATTTATCATTCTGACCAGTTACGCTGTGACTTTAGCTTTATTCCAACCAATCAAAACTACATTTAAAGATATCTGCAATCCACTTCTGACAGAATTAACTACAAACACCTTGAACTTCATTCTGAACTGTGCTCCTGCATTTTCACATTTCTTTCTAAAACCCTCGTTTTTCCGCCACCTGCTGACGTGGATGACTGATGACGCAGCGTTTTATTAAACTTAATGAAATAAAAATAAGGAAAATAAATGATAAATACTTAGAATTATTTTATCATATAAAATATAATAATAAAGAAACAGTGAGGATAATGATAAACACAATAAGAGATGAAGTCCAGCTCTGCTTAAATCAAACACAAACAGGTGGATGTTAATTTGTAATACATCAGCATATATTTACGTTTTTATCTCACCTAATAATGGTCTAATTATGCTAATTAATTAATTACACCAACATGCAACTCGACAACGAGGTCAGAATGCAGGACAGAAAGTAATATATGGATGGAATAAACCTTTAAAACCACAATTAGTTTGACAGAAAGCAGCCATTGGGTGGAACAAACCTATAAAACCATAAGTCTATGAGTGAAATAAGGGTCCCAGAAGTGTGGCCCTGAAGCTGCAGACACAGAATCCTGGTTCCAGTCCTGATCTTAGTTCCCGATATGTTTAATTCCCAGAGCGAGGCAGAGATCTCAGAGCGGAGTTCTGCCTCGTCACATCTGCTGTTTTATCTCCGTGTCAGAGCTGCACGAAGCCGAACTACATTCACAGAACAAGATTTTATAACCAAAGCTCTGGTTCTCCTCAGACTGATGAGTTCTTCCAGTCTGATGGACCGACGTCCAATAAGAACCTCACATTAGCAGCAGCATCACAACCATCCAGACAAGTTCTACTGAGATTCTTCTGAATAAACTGGACCGCAAATATCTCTGCCTGTGGTTTTGTCTGGTCAGAATGATGTTAAACGTATCTGGAATAGAAACTCTGAAAACATCCCAGTGACACTAATAACACGTGGCAGTAAAACGGATGCCAGCTGCAGAACCAACGTGTGTTTGCAGAGAAAGCTGAACGTCTTCCACCGACTACGAACATCAGTCAGAACTCAGGAGGACCGGTTCAGACTTCATTTAAGCTCAACAGGTCAAACATGTAGATAATTACCACAATCAAACATCTGGATTTCTAGAATTAACATTATTTACTGTATGTATAACAACAATATTTTATCCAAGATATTTGCTGTTTTTTTAAAGAAAAAAAAATATTAAAGGTTGAAAATTTTGCAAACTATTTCTGTTATTTTACAGATTTTTCCCACTTTGAATAAATTACAGACAATAATGATTAAAATCACAGAATTAAAGTAATAATTTATATGTTAACTATTTAAAAAAGGCCCAAACTGTAGCTAACAACCACATCAAATATGTGCATTTTTATAAATTGTAATTTATTGTCAGTCAAAATTCTAGATTTTATTTACTGAAATGTTTTTTTATTTTTATTTTTTAAAATGTATTTACAGATATTTTCCATTTTAAAGAAAGAAAACATATTAAGGATTGAAAAGTTGTTATTAAATTCTGTTATTTTACTGATTCTGTCCGGTTTTAATAAATTACAGGTAATAACAAGTGAAATCACAGAATTAAAGTAATAACTGACATGCTAACTATTAAAAAAAAACTGTAAACAACAGCCACATCAAGTTGTAATTTATCATCATTAAAAACTGCAGACGACCAGTTCAGACCTAATTGAAGCCATTTAAATGTAGATGTTTTGAACTGAGGAGAGTTAAAGGTGTCTTAAACTCTAAGTAATCAGGATTAAACTGTAAGTATCTGAATGAAAACTCGCCATAATTCAGGTGCAGATGTCTCTCGTTGTGAATATTTGCAGTGTGAATATGTAGAAATGTTCTTTTCTACTCTGGAGAGTCTTAAACCGTGGATAACTGCAGCACAAACCCGGTCTGGCTATTAAACGTGGACTCGGTTTGCGTGGACACTCCGTCTCTGTGCCACTGGGTCTACATTCTGTGGAAGTGATTTCCAAACGCCGACAGACAGCAGAGATCCTCCGGAGAGCCTCGTTGACCCACATGTCAACACGCCGTCGCAGCAGAGAGGCTGTAATGAGCGCTACAGCGTCTGACGTCACGCATCATTCAAGATAAACTGCTGCAACGAGCAGAGAGGACGAGGAGAGCGTTGTAGGAGAGAGGAGGAAGGAGGAAACCTCCTCCTCCTGCAGCCAGTTCTCCAACCGCTGAGCGTGAAACGAGTCCATCACACCCCGATCCACTGAAACGTCTAATTCTCCTTCCCTAAATCTCCCTCCTCTCTCAATTAAACCCTCCCTTTAATTATTCGTCCACAGCTGCTTACAATAACGCAAAAAAAAAAAAGCATCCCGTAATAATCCCATGTGGGCTTGTAAAGGAGAAATGCAACAATGCGAGGCTTTGTTTCTGCTCCTCTGTCCTCCTTCACTGGATGCTTTCGTCTGGATGCTGCCTGGAATGTAAATACGGTGCCGACGAGCTGCAGGTACGGTGAAAGTTCTAAAGGATCCAGAGGTGTCCACAGCTGCAGCGACTGGAATCGGTTATTGAGTTTTATCATTAGGAGTGTTTCTGTGGGTCCAGAAAGGGTTAAATGAAGCTTAAGGTCAAAGGGGTCACCGACGGCCGAGAGAAGGAGCTGATGACGGCGTATAAGTGATTTTATTGTGTGCGTGTTCGTCCGCCCGCCTCGGGCCCGTTTCATTTCTTATTCATTAAGCAGGAACAGCTAATAGGTTTCTAATTGAAATCAGAGCTGCAGCCTGAAGCAAAAAGGAGCTCAAGTGTGTTCAGATCTGGTTCACACTGTAAAAAAAAAAGAGCATTTTTAACTGTGTTTTTAAAAATAATTTACTATCATCGTACAGATTTCTCCAGTTTGCTCAAATTAGTAATAACATGNTCAATAAAACCTAAATTATGACGACAAACACATTCAGACGATCTCCTGATGAACACATCTCCTACACCAGTCCATCAGTCTAGTGTCCTACAGCCTTACGCAGGTGTCGCTGGGCGTCGTCTTGAGGGAAAAGGGTCCATGGTGGCGTTTTATCAGCGTGAATCCACAGCAACGACAGCAGTAGTCCAACAACATGAATGGTCGCTGGTCCAAATGGGACAATGTGGGGCGTTTTGACAGCATGTTGGAGGATTAGAAGAAATGAGATTACTACTAAGAAGTCGGAGTAAATCCCAAAAGGGCTGAAGGCAGCGTGCTGTAGTGTGGATGTGCACACTGAGACATGAGCAGGAGACGGAGCTTCACCACAAACATGTCATTCAGACTTTATTTAAACTTAAAGTACACTGAAGCCTGAATGACAACGCAGCTGAGCAAGAACATAAAATCTGCAGTAACACAAATAAGAAAGCTGAATAACTTTTGTATAGTTTGACACACATCAAACATTTGTGTTACTGCAGGTTTGTTTCGGTCTTTTTTCTGTGTTTTATGGACAAATTCACAAATACTTGGACAAATAATCTGCAGCTCATTAATAAAAACCTGAAGATGTTTGCACAGTCATGTATTCTGGAGGCGTGGTTGTTTGTATGAGCTGAATTTTAACGTGTGAATCGATTATTTAAAAAATCTTTAGCAAAAAACACCAAGACAGATGTGATTTTAATCCTGTCAGGCTGTTTGTAATAACAAACACTTTTTATGTGGATTTTTTTTTTTTTGCTTTAAATCAAAGTTTACAAACTGATTTTGACAGAAAACGCAAAATAATTCACTGATATTTGGACAAATACTCTGAAGATATTTTCACAATAAAATCAAAACCTTTGCATGTTGTTGAGAAGATTTAAAAACATAAAGAAAGACGTGATTTAAATTTTGTCAGGCCGTCTCTATTATTTATGATATAACAGCAAATTTAAAAGCAAAGTGCTGTAAAGACTTTCACAATAAAACTAAAAAAAGAAATAAACAACAACCAAACGAGGCCTTTACGTGTATTTTGGAGGTGAGATTCAGTCTGAATCATCCTCAAAGCATAATTTTAAGATCAAATATTTAGCAAAAAACACCAAGAAAGACGTGGTTACGACCATGCCAGGTGGTTTGTAATATAATATTAATAACTTGATTTACACAAGAGTTAAGATGAAGTTAAAACGAGATGCAGCAACACAGCATGTTAAATATTGTCGTTAAGACCTGATGATATTACATATCATTAATTTTTACAACAGTTTCTATCTTTGGTTTACCTGAAATTTTAATTTACATGAAATATAGATATTTATTAGGATATATGTGAAATGTTTAGCCTGTTCTATTACATACATCTGTCCCCCTACACATAGTCAATGTCTCAGGAACTATTAAAGACAAAATCCTGACACTTTCACTGCTGTTTCTCATCATGTCGCTCATTCAGAATCAGCAATATTAAAAAATTAAATCATCTCTGATAGCAGGTGAGTTGAAATAAGAAAAAAAATCACATTAACACAAAAACACTGATGATGCAGAAGCCAAGTAGTGATGTTTTCCGAACCACATGCAGCCACATGTCACAATAATACAAAACTAAAACTTTAATATCTCATAAATGACTTCTATATGCAGCTAAAGGTTCATATTTAGAAATGTCCATATTTTATGGTTTAAAAACTCCAGACAAATCAGAGCTGGCTGAGCAGAAATTCTTCTAAAAATGTGATGACTTGAGATGAATAACTTTATATATAAATGAACCTGTAGGAGTTGAGATCCTGAACACTAGGTGGCAGCAGAGCGTCGGGCTGAACTGAATCCAACAGGAGCTCAGGGGAGGATGAAGACCACGTCCACCGGCGGACTGGCAGCAGCAGATAAGAGGCTGACCATTCAGATGTGCCACTAATCACTTCCCTCCATGTTTATTTTAAAATCAGACACTGTGGATGAAAATAGAGGCGAGGGAGCGCAGGAGAGGGCATCTGGAGGGCAGAGAGGATCCGCCAGCTGCTGCTCGTCCATCATCTGTTGGTGAAAATGAAGAGAAACCAGAGTGCCAGAGAGCCACGCCGTCCCCGTCTCCCTCCAGAAATAGCTTCAACAACTCCACGCTCAACTCTCCGGCGTCACCACCTGCGCACGTCTGCGGCCCGAGCACGTGCACGTGCGCCTTTGTGTGGTTGACTTGGCTGCCACGGTAACCTGCATCATTGTAGCCATGGTGACGGAGAGCAGGAGGAGAGGGGGGGGGATCCATGAAGAGGGAGGAGGTAGGCGTCATGACTACCATCCCTCTGTGTGTGTTTGTTCTGGAACATTTTATTTCTCGGAAGCTCGCCGGAGTCCAATCGCGCTCTTCTGTTCTCAGATGTAGAACGAGGCCGAAGTTGCTCGTGTGATCAGCGTGAAAGTGTTTCATGGCGTCAGAAGAAGGTTTACGCACATGAAGCAGCTGGGATTACAGGAACAGAGATGTCCCTAACTGGTTTATCTTGCTCCTGATCCAATCATTTAATATTTGCCGATGCAGAGTCCCAGTCAGATGCCATCTTCATACATAACACACACTTCATATGCGTTAGAGTTGTTTAAATAAATCCAACGTACACACTTGACAAGTGAAAAGCTCTGCACAGCATTAAGAAGAAAGAACTACATCCCTGCACCTGAGCTGTTTCTTAGTGTTCTGTGTGCGGTCGGGAACCTTGTTGTTGTCTAGAGCATGGTGTTGGAGGGTAATAGGGGTGTAACGTGACCCCACGAGCTCCCAAAACACTTTACAATAAGAAAAAAGATTTTCTACATGCATGTCAAAAAACGTGTTGTCGGTTAGCTGTAGTACCTGGTTGTTCCACCAGGTGGAGCTTCTTACTGTTTAACACTGTACAGACCAATCTGACGACAGGTAGGAGCATTGTGAGGGTTTAGCTAACAACAGACACCACGACAAAGACTTCTGTGGTGCTTAATGACAACTTATCTTGTATGAAGCGTCCTGCCTCCATCTTGAATGTTCCCGTTCTCAGACATTTCCAGAATAAACTCAACTTGTTTTGGTTTTCTATTGTTCCTGACAAAGCAAATTAAAAATGCTGATATGCTGCACCTGTGTTATCACCTGTCAGCCGCAGCCTCACGCTTCTTCTATGATGGAATAAACCACACTGCTGGAGCTTTTCTGTTCGTTAAAGACTTTAAATTTGCTCGACTGCAACTTTACATTAAACTACAACAACATGAATCAGAAGAGCCATCAGAGAGCTCATCGTCCACCGAGGCCAGCGCTCCAGAAATGTCTTGTTTAGTCCACAACCCAAAGAGATCCAGATTACTGTCACAGAGGAGGCAAGAAAACTGGAAATATTCACATTTAAGAAGCTGCAAACGGACAAATTAGACAGTTTTTCTTTAAAAAACGATTATTCGATTAACAGTTGCTGCAAACTAACCAATTAATTGTTGCAGCTCTTTAGCCAACTTTGGACTTAAGCTGTGCTTCATGGAGCAACAACAGAGCTGAAGGAGGAAAAAATTCTCATTTAAGAAGCTGCAATCAGAGAATTTAGACGTTTTTCTCTTGAAAAATGACTCAAACTGATTAAATAATCATTAAAACTGACGATATTTAATTAAACAGTTGGCGGCTGATCAGTAAACTGTTGCGGCTCTGACGTTATTCCAGGTGACTGACTCTGTTAATTGCTGTTTTTGCTCTTGTACAGTTGAACAAATGCGATATAACGTGATCATGAAGGAGCTCCAGAGGCGCTGCTGGTTGATTCAAGAACATTTATCAGAACTTTTCCTTTTAGCAGGTTTTGTGTGAGAAACAAAAAGTATTAATACGACGACCTTCGTAAAATCCTCGATATCAGCCCGGTGAAATAAATCAGTCAATAACAGAAACATAAAAGCTCCTCTTATCACCAAGGTGACCATAAATCCTGTCTGAGCTGCAATTTAGCAGCAAAGCACCAAGAAAAGGCGTTTCAGATGCATTTCAAGGCTCTGATGAATTATTAAACTCACACTAAAACTCAAACTGAGGCTCAAAAGGCAAACAAAAGCCGCTGACACGGCAGCAGAACATTCAGACGATCGGGTCGGTTCACCAAAGAGCTGCTGCTGCTTCCAGAGACGTCAGACGACCGGAGTTGCACCGAGACCAGAACCACCGGCGGCAAACTGTTCAGTAGCTGACAGACATTTATCATTCTGACCAGTTACGCTGTGACTTTAGCTTTATTCCAACCAGTCAAAACTACATTTAACGATATCTGCAATCCACTTCTGACAGAATTAACTACAAACACCTTGAACTTCATTCTGAACTGTGCTCCTGCATTTTCACATTTCTTTCTAAAACCCTCGTTTTTCCGCCACCTGCTGACGTGGATGACTGATGACGCAGCGTTTTATTAAACTTAATGAAATAAAAATAAGGAAAATAAATGATAAATACTTAGAATTATTTTATCATATAAAATATAATAATAAAGAAACAGTGAGGATAATGATAAACACAATAAGAGATGAAGTCCAGCTCTGCTTAAATCAAACACAAACAGTGGATCTTAATTTGTAATACATCAGCATATATTTACGTTTTTATCTCACCTAATAATGGTCTAATTATGCTAATTAATTAATTACACCAACATGCAACTCGACAACGAGGTNAAAAAAAAGGGTTAATTTACACGTGAACCGTAAAAAAATTACATAAAATCAGGTCCATCCATCCATTATCTATACACCGCTTATGTCCACATCAGAAATCTGCACTTTTGTAAATTGTAATTTAATCTTTTACAATAATTGACTGAATTTAAATCCACAAAAAAATCCAATTTTTACAGATATTTGTGCTTCTACAAAATAAAAATCTGAAAAATGTAAAAATGGTTCATCATTTTTAACTGTAATTTTTAAAACAATTTGCTGTTATTTTACAGATTTCCCCATCTGCTTAAATTACTAATAATATGTAGTAAAATTGCTTATAAAAAAAAGTGTTAATTTACCTGTGAACCATAAAAACATTTCACATTTTAAATCACATCTTTGAAATCTGCATTTTTTAAATGGTAATTTGTTCTTTTACAGCAACAGACTGCAACATTTACAGAATTTAAATCTGCAAA